GCCGCCATCCTGCCGGGCTCCTGGCAACCAGTGACGTCACTGGCTGCCAGGAGCTAAAAGCTGGAAGTGGAGATGTGTAAGGGATCTGCATTTCCTCACCCAGCTCTTAGCAACCTGGGACGCTGTAGCTGGCTCTTAGAGGCGTCAAACTCCACCACTGATTATGTGCACTACCGGCACCCCCAATCCCTACACTTCCCACCCAGTCGCATGCAGCACAAATACAAGGGACACCCCTGGCCTTGGGCTTGTTCATACCAAGTCTGTTGAGCTGTATTTTTTGCACACTACTGCACATGTATGGTGTGAACAGGGCACATAGAAAACAATTGTGCGGTGGTGTGCAGCAAAATGCAGGTCAACAGACATGGTATAAACATGCCCTATGTACCCTGTTCACACCATATATGTGCAGTTGTATTCGGGGAAAAACAGCTAATCAGGCATGATGTGAACAAGCCCTGAACATAGAAAACCATTCACTGTTGGTGGCCCTTTTAAGACGAGTTGAGCAATATTGCTAAGGATTTGTTCGTTGTTCAGCTTCTTCTTTTGTTTTCATAATGTGTAGGATGTCATCATGAACATTTTTCAGCCAAAAACAGAGCAGATGTGGTATATTACAGACAGAAATGTCACATTTAATAAAAAAAATAAAGTAGATTTCATTCAACATGTATTTTTGCAAGAAATGCCACATTTATACCGAAAGTATATCTAAAGGCAATGTTTTTTCCTTTTGGATAGAATAGGGAAGGGTAAAACCACTTGGGGTTTTTTCTTTGTCTTCTGTGTCTCATTTGGGATTTGTGCTCACTTTCTTTCCTGGTGACAATGGTGATCATGACAATTAGGGAGAATGGATCTCTTAAAGGGACCATGCATATAGGCATGTGCAATATTCTGGTGCATTGTTGCACCTAGCAGGTGCTGTGCACAACCTCCTATAGACATGCTTGGCTGTACGCAGTTGTACATGAGTATAAAGCGAGTACTTGCATAAAGACTCGCATGCATACAGGTGCACAACACTTGATGCAAACAGTCTGAATCCGGGGTTGAATGTCTATATACAGGGGCATGTTTATGCAAGTATTGGTGCATACCCTTTTGCAGCTTCACACAGCCATTCATTTTCTACAGGGGGCTGTACACAGCACCTGTGGCTTCTGAAAGGGAAAATACACCCACATTTTAAAGGTTAGCCAACTCCATGGTGGTGGAGTGCGGGAAAACAGGGGGAATGGGTAAGCTAATTAAATAAATATAAAACAATTTTCATTGTAGTCTCATTTTCAAATATGACTCAAACAAACGGTGGGGAAAAAAAACAACATTCAGCACTATGGAGAGCTCCAGTTGGAACATTTTCCCGGCCAGAGGAAGCAGCTTCCTGTAGACCAGCTGTCACATTCGCCAGTTACGTAATCGCCATATATAAATGCAGCGAATGTGTTCACAAGTATGGAGGGAATGCCAGCAAATATTTAACAAGGATACGATTTCTAAATATGTCTCTTAGATTCAGTACGTTTCAGGAAAATGATTGCAACAACCATAGAGGCGTGTTACGGGACAGCAAGCTACATAGGACTATCTGGAAGAAAATGACAACCAGTCAGCAGATGCAACATATCTCTAGAGCAGTGGTTCTCAACCTGTGCAACCTCAGGACCCACATTTGTCCATGGTCATTAAGTCGCGACCTAAGTCACACTGCAATGGAATGCACAACAGTGTGGGTTGTTGTGCTGTGATGGAGCTCCATCCATATGTGCATTGCTTGTACAGCTCCCATGCGTGCCTGTAGAGGTGCCGGGAGCCATAATGTGATGTCACTCCGGTCCAGGCATGTCTACAGGACATGTGAAGAAGCTGTAAGCAATGCATGTATGGATGAAGCTCCCTCGCTGCCATACCCCCAGCCCACCTCAAGTCAACACTTGGCGCCAGACAGCATATTTTGAATAGCTGCTCGGTGTGAGAGTGAACAGTGCTGTGCTAGGGGGAGGCTGGGGAGCCTCTCACCTAGAAAAGTGGAAACCATGCGGCGACCCACTGAACATGGGGTCGCGACCCACTTTTGGGTCACGACCCACCGGTTGAGAACCAAGGCTCTAGAGTCAATGTGTTGTGTATCTCCTGCTTCTGATGAATCCTAGAAGCACAGCTGGTCAGTCAGTAGCTAGACAACTAATAGTATTTATTTATTACAGGTATTTGGTCTTATTCACACAGATGTGCAGAGCTGGACTCCCTTGCAGAAGCTTGCTCCCTGGAGGGACAGCTGGTGCATGCAGCTACCTGTTCAACACAGTTGCACACTGACCTGAATATGCACGGATGCACTCCCTTTTTTTTGGATTGATTTACAATATTTAGCAATGTATTCATACAGGCACAGATGCATGCCCCTGAATGCAGACTGTCTGCAGCCAAGGGCGTGCATCCATACCTGTATGGATGTGCAAGTTTGAGTCGACATGTAGCTGTGTCCTGTCATTGAGATGTACAGGCACGTGGCTACATGCAGTTGCTATCCCTCCAGGGTGCAGTTTACTGCACGCTGTATGGCTGAGCATGTCTGTGTGAATCAGCCCTAACTATAGCACCGTTTATTTACACACAATTCACATCAGCCCGTGTTCAAGGTGGTCACAATCCGAGGTCCTTATTTCACACATGTACTAGGGCCAATTTATGCAAGACCCAATTATACTACCAGCATGTGTTTGAAGTCTGGGAGAAAACCCACACAAGCACAGGGAGGGCATGCAAACTGCATGCAGATAGTGTCCTTGCCAAACCCGGATTTGGACTGGGGACCTCAATGCTCTAAGGTAGAAGTGCTAACCACTGATCCACTGTAGAAAATTGCCCTCTTATTGGACACTTTATTTATCCACTTTGATAAGCTCACTGTTTGTATGTACTGTAGGCATGAAGGTGCTCTTACACAAGGTACTAATTAAAACAAACCTATACTTTGCTCATGAAGACAAAAGCAACACGTTCATTTTAATGCCCCCTCTTTGACGTCGCATACTTTTTTTTTTTGCCCCACCAATTGCTCTCTTCAGCTGCAAATAAAATGCCATGGCATGAAGTAGTGTGCAATTTGACATCACTGGTTCTTGGTGATTTGGCCAAGCACAGTCTCATGGGGGCCCTGTGTAAGCTCCACCTAGAGTGACTTGTAGGGCTTCTTTTCTTCCGGCAGCTGTACAGAGGGGAAGGAAAAGTTCATTGTGCTGTTGGGGAGGGGGAATTAATGTGAACTTGTTGCTTAGCTTTTAATGCAGCTGTGTCCCTAAGACCTTTTGTCACAAGGGCGGCATTTGTTCGAATCAGCAGATGACCCATGAACAGATCCCTGAACGGATCACTGACTTGGAGCATAACAGATGTCAGTTGTGTGACATCCTTGTCTGTTCAGTTTTCTCCACTAACTTGTGATGGGGGGGAAATACGGAGGTTAAGTGATCCATCTTAGGACTATGGACAGGCCGTCCATTTACAATCTGTCACAGAGGTAATCTGATGTAAACGGACACATCCATTGACATCTGCCTGCCCGTAGACTAACATTGAGCTTCTAAACTGGTCCGCCTGAAAAACCGACAGGCGGATCTGATTGGAACAGCTATGTGAAGAGGGTCTTCTTGCCGCCATCCTGCCGGGCTCCTGGCAACCAGTGACGTCACTGGCTGCCAGGAGCTAAAAGCTGGAAGTGGAGATGTGTAAGGGATCTGCATTTCCTCACCCAGCTCTTAGCAACCTGGGACGCTGTAGCTGGCTCTTAGAGGCGTCAAACTCCACCACTGATTATGTGCACTACCGGCACCCCCAATCCCTACACTTCCCACCCAGTCGCATGCAGCACAAATACAAGGGACACCCCTGGCCTTGGGCTTGTTCATACCAAGTCTGTTGAGCTGTATTTTTTGCACACTACTGCACATGTATGGTGTGAACAGGGCACATAGAAAACAATTGTGCGGTGGTGTGCAGCAAAATGCAGGTCAACAGACATGGTATAAACATGCCCTATGTACCCTGTTCACACCATATATGTGCAGTTGTATTCGGGGAAAAACAGCTAATCAGGCATGATGTGAACAAGCCCTGAACATAGAAAACCATTCACTGTTGGTGGCCCTTTTAAGACGAGTTGAGCAATATTGCTAAGGATTTGTTCGTTGTTCAGCTTCTTCTTTTGTTTTCATAATGTGTAGGATGTGATGTGCATCGCAAGAAAGCAATTAAGCAACATCGTGTACTGTGTCTTTGTATTCAACCATCTCATATAAAGTTGTAATATAAAGGCCACCTCCATCCATGATTAATGTTTCACTGCTTCCTTGACTTTTTTTTTTTCATGGGCATTCTGATTGCAAGATGTCATCGCCAGTTTGTCCTCCACCTATGGCCAATATGCAGCCAAAACGTTTCCCCTTTCTAGAGATTTCGTGCGATACAGAATAAGTAACTGTAGAATTCAGTAAAGAAAATGTGACGCTAACAAACCTCAGTCACTGCTCAAGCCAGCTTTCTAATTAACATCCAGTGGTGGGCTTGCTCATTGCAAAGTACTTCAAATTCTAGTGAAGATAACGAAGAGAATATAAATATGGCATCCATGTAATGGGCTGGGTGGTGCCATGAAATGTGAAAGTATTTTGTTACTGGATGTTCCAAGATCTATAAGAAGTTGTCATTATTTTGCATAGCCCTGGGTTCAATTTCAGCCACAGTACAGTAATTCTTTGTGGAGTTGTTTGTCCTTTTTCCTAATCTATGTGAGGATTTCCTGCAGATGCACCATTGTTTAAAATCTGGTAGGTCAATCCGATTCTACCCCAATTAACTGTAGTGTGTTACTCTGGTCACATTGAGGACTCCCTTTTAAAAACAAGGACTGAAGTAATTGACCTGTGTGTTGTGTGTTTAGCATTTGTCAGCTCATGGTTTTTATTTTGTCTTTTATTTTCCCCTTGCAGATGCTGGCTACCAGTTTGACATTTGCTACACATCCGTTCTAAAAAGGGCTATTCGCACCTTATGGCTGGCACTGGATGCCACTGACCAGATGTGGTTGCCCGTCTACAGGAGCTGGAGGTTGAACGAGAGACACTATGGTGGACTGACTGGCCTGAACAAAGCAGAGACAGCCGCTAAACATGGAGAGGCTCAGGTTAAGATCTGGAGGCGATCTTATGATACTCCTCCACCATCCATGGACCCAGATCATGATTATTACCAGATCATCGCCAAGGTAATTGGCTTTTGTTTTACCCTTCACAGTAGATGTGGTTAGCAGTGCTGCTGAGTTATTTTGGAATATTTTGCTTCAAGTGAAGGACAAAGGAATAGGAGCAGACAGTGAAGGAAAAAAAAATTCAATGTAACTGTATCATTTATGTATGTGCATTAGCTTTCCATACTGACAACGTCCAGTGGTTAACAATCAATGAGCGCATTACTTATTGCAGTGTCTAATGTTCTATGCACAAGGACACTTCTATGTATCTGTGTGCTACGAGAAAATAGACCTGCATTTAAAGCAACTCTGTCACTAGGAAAACATAAATGCTGTCTGTTTAAATTGCCCACTCTTATAGGCCCATCATTATAATTGGCTGCCTCACCGACCAGTAGGAATGTGTGTAAGGTGGGGCAGGCAAACTTCAGCTCCTAGACTAAGCTGCTCAACCTCCCTGGCGGTCTGATTTATCTCTTTTTTTTGGTCTATTTTTTTTAATCCTTTTTTTCATTGTTTTTTTTTTTATTACCCGCTGGTTCCGCCCCCTTGCGACGCGGACGCTCACAAGGGACGGAACCCAGAAGACAGATGCCACATCAGCCGGAGGACACAGCGTGGCTCGAGGGGCAAGGTAAGTAACGCTGACCTGTAATCCCGAGTGTGGCTCGGGGGTCACCACTTATGGTACTGAAAATTAACCCCCGAGCCACACTCAGGATTACCGCCAAGGAGGTTAATGAATAGCTGTGGTCAGCAGCTGGCAAGCCACTGATCGCAGCTATTCATAGAAAATATAACCACACTTTCCCTAAGAGACATCAGTTCCTTGCTGGTCCAGAACACTGTAGAATCCCACTCATTAGTAAGGGAAACATGAGGGAGCAATATCTTGCTGGTCCAGCCATCAGAAAGTGACACAATAGGAGAAGGAAAGAAGCCTCCTAGCTATCCTTTCTCTGGCTACGACTCGCTATGCATTTGTTTTTCATCTTAACTAAAAAGGAATGTCGCGCTTAACTCTAGAATTATAACAAAGGCATCTTTTAGAAATATTTAGTGATGGCAGTCTACAAACAGTTACTTGTAGATAATTGCAGGATTTGTATTTTTTGCATATCTTTATTTTTCTGCTCCTCCCCATTCTTCTTATGGTGGCCATTTTCACTAAAGGCAGATAAATCTCCTTTTCCTTCCTGGAACTCTAGTTCTGCCTCCTGGAACATGTGACAGTGCACATCATCCAAGGTGGATACAAATACTTTGACAGAGCTTGCAGTTTGCAGACGAGATTTTCCAGGAAGACAATGGTGATGTAGCCTTCCCAGGTTGCATCTGTGGGGCCAGGGCTAAATCGCCATTGCCTCACTCCTCCAGGAAGTAGATAAACAGTAATTGTAGGTCAAAGCAAAAAATGTGCATGCAGAGCTGCATGCTGATGTGATATTATTTTTTTATTTTTGTGAAAGGGGGTAAAGGTCCGCCCCTGTTGTTTTTTTCCTCGGCAGAAGCATCTGCTTCGTGCTGTTCACCTGTTTTCATTAAAATGCTGCATATCTATTTACTGCAGCGACTCCAGATTAAATGCATGATTTGCATATGTTCGGAACGTGTGTTTTGCTCTCAGAGTTATCCTGTGATGTTATTGGTTGCTAATTAATTATTAAGGAATCTCATGACTATTTTATAAATTTGTAAAATGTCTCGAGGTTACTTTTTTCTTCTGTGCTAATGTGTTTCTTTGTTAATGTTGTGTGTGTTTTCTTTTTTCTTCTTTTCTATGCAGGATCGCCGTTACAGTGACCTGACAGAAGACCAGCTCCCGAGCTGTGAAAGTCTGAAGGACACCATTGCTAGAGCCCTGCCATTCTGGAATGATGAAATCGTTCCAAAGATCAAAGAAGGGAAGAGGGTCCTCATTGTTGCTCACGGCAACAGCCTTCGAGGAATCGTCAAGCACTTGGAAAGTACGTACAACAAAACTATGGGCTGTTATAGGAAGAGAAATTCTAAAAGTCATGTTTTATATGGCTGATCAAGTGGACAGCCGTCTGTGAACTATCTTCTAGTGAACATCAAACGGGGAGAATGAGCTTTTGGTTGTTTTAAACAAATCCTCAAAATTGCTTAGCTCAGAGTTTTCCCAAGCATCTTCAAAAGTAGGAAATGTGGCTGACTAAGACCTACAGAGAGGATGTTTGCATAGCGTTTATTCGCTTCTCTGCACCTATGTAAACCATATAATATATTTTGCATATAGAAGGATAAGCTAAAGCTTTTGGTTTCTGAAATCTATAACACTACTGGAAGGAGTGACCCATTTATTTGTTTATATATCTTAGAGGCTTTAACGGCCAGCTGTTGTGCAGTAGGCTGTGTTCCCTGTGCCCTGGGGGTCTTGCTCCTCCTGCTGCCGTGGTGCGATTCCTGTAGCTGCTGCAATCTCTATTAATCTAAAATGTAGGACATACAAATAGGCTTGTAGTGGCATTTTGTAAGTGGACATGCTTGAAAATTTTTTAGCTCCAGGGGGTCCCAAAAGATGAATAAGGTTTTCAGAATCTACAAATAATTGCGATACAACGTACACTACCAGAGCTGTCACAGCGCACTAGCACGTCTGCTTAGCGTACTGTGAATGGACCCTTCAGTATTCATACTGTGCACAGCTTTTAGCCACATGTGCAATTTTTCTTATTGTTGACTGAGGGATATAATGCCGAGAGATAAATGTGTAGCCTGTAAAGTGGCTTAGAACCTGAATATTTTCATTTTATATGCTGGGACTTCGAGTACCAATGGGGTCGGGGTATCGAGTACCAATACTTTGCTTTCGGTACTTGCCGGTACCGGTGCTTCTGCTGGCATGGAGCCAGCTTTCCCGGCAATCGGGAAGCCGGGTGGTGGGTAATGACATGCCGCCCGGCTTCCTGATTGCCGGTAAAAGCCGGCTCCATGTTGTTTGCCCGGCTTAATTGTGATTGGCCAGGAGACCGCCTTCCCAGTCAATCAGCATTGAGCCAGCTTCCCTTCCAATCAGGAAGCCGGGCGGTGAGTAATGACCTGCTTCCTGGCCAATCAGCATGGAGCTGGCTGCCCAGCCAATCAAGAAGCCAGGAGGCGGGTCATTACTCGCTGCCCAGCTTCCTGATTGCACAGGAAGCTGGCTCCATGTTCCCCTATGGCACTGCTGGTCGGAGGAAATCTTCCTCTGACCGGAAGTTCCGGTATCGGGAAGGTATCTGAGCATTTGGACGAGTACTCCCCTAAATACCTAGTATCGGTGCATCCCTACCTTTTTTTATTTTTTTTTAAGGTTTCCTATTCTTTGTCTAAAATGTTTTTATAATGAGTATTGATCAACAAGTATCCTTTTGTGTTTCTTCACTGCAGATATGTCAGAGGAACAGATCATGGAGCTGAATCTGCCCACCGGTATTCCCATTGTGTACGAGCTTGACAAGAACCTGAAACCCATCAAGCCAATGCAGTTCCTCGGAGATGAAGAGACCGTGCGCAAAGCCATGGAGGCAGTGGCTGCCCAAGGAAAAGCCAAGAAGTAAAGGGTTCATCCCAGAGAACCACCGGCTTCCATCCCTTAGTTTACTTTTTATCTAGACACCTGGCGGCTAGGGATTCTGAAATGCAGCTGTATCGGAAACCTTGCATCTAGGCAGCCGCCCATTCACTTGTCTCTTTAACCATCTCCAATATTGCATCTCTCCAGTGCGTTCTGTTCACCCAGTTTGTAGTAAGACTAGCTAGAATATTGTTTGTTTGCCGGAATGTTGATCATAAAACACATCACTTATTGGCACATGGCAACCAGTCCTTTTTGATCTATCAGTTATAAGCGTTCATATAGGGTGCTTAAAGGGCAGCAGTGAAGTGCAAAGTGCGGTAACCCATAACAACCTATCGGTTGGTGGATTCTGGCTGTTGCACAGTACTTGCCACGCTTTGAGCAGTCTCAGTGCACAAACTCGTGTGTGTGACCAAACCTTTATTCTTAGTTTTTGTTTACACATTTCTTTTAACCAATCACATGCTTTAGATTTTGTTAGACGTTTTAAAAGTTTTTGCACGGACCAATCATGTACTTTAACATGCACTGAAATGACACCCATGCACGTCTACGCCTGCTGCAGTGTATTGTATGGATCAACTTCAATACCTGATCAGTCCTTCAGAAGTACTTTGGGTTAAATTAGGAAAACAAGCAAAACAGGAGCTGCTGCCCATAGAAAACCTTTAACATTGATTTTTGAATCAGTAACTCTGTTTTCTAGGGGGAAGGTCCAATTTTGCTCTGGTTTTCATAAGACGCCTTCTTTTTTTCTTTTCTGCACTGATATCTGTGTAATTATTTTGGCCTTGACCTTCTGCCTCCTCATTTGTCCTACTGAGCATTCGAAGACTTATAGTTGCTTAACAAATGGGGAATCGCAGGTTGCCTTCGTGCAGGCAGTCTTTCTAGTATGGTCTATTTCCCATGGGTGTTAAATTGGTCTAGTATGTCACTATGACCTTTTTAGTACATAAGCTAATGCAAATAGGTCAGTTATCCATGTATAACGTGGGCTGAAGACCAGCATCTTGGTATAAGATTGAAACATTCCAGAGAGAGAGAGTTATCGGTGTTGAGGGGCCACTTGATATCGCACTGTAGCCATTTCCACTTGGCTTGTACTCCAGTTTCCCATGATTCCCTCCTAGTCACCCTAACACTGCAGGACATCACAGTACTGATCGTGTGTATCGTGGATTGTTACTCACGGATTTTCATCTCTGCTGCTAGATAGAGGTTTATGAGCCTTGCCTGTGAAGTGCACCCTTATTCTTGCACTTGTTTATGACGGTTGTTTGTCCCTTTATAGAGATGTCCATTATTTAAGATCATTTCAATAAAGGAGTGATGTGCAATGATATCAATCTGCATGTGTCCCTTTTTTTTTTTTTTTGGTTAGCCACTGTAATGGAATTTATTTGACTTGGAAAATGTATTTAATAATAATTAAAAAAAGAGCTTCAAGTATGCCTTCATGGCGGAGATGCACAGGTTCATTTTGTTTGGCCTCCTGCTAAAAATGCTAGTTTTTTTTTTTTGTTAATGCTATTCTTCAGTAGGGTATGCATGATAAAAATTAGGGATGCACCGATTCCGGTTTTTCGATATTGAGTTAAGAGTACCGATATATTTTGCACCGATACCAGTGCTTCCGCTGGCATTGAGCCGGCTTCCCAGGCAATCAGAAAGCCAGGCGGTGGGTAATGACATGCCGCCCGGATTCCCGATTGGTCGGGAAGCCAACTCCATGTTGTTTGGCCGACTCAATGCGGATTGGCCGGGCAGCTGACTTCCCAGCAAATCAGGAAGACTGGAAGTGGGTCATTACTCGCCACCTGGCTTCCTGATTGCTTCAGGAAGCCGGCTCCATGTTCCCCCTACGGCACTGCCGGTCAGAGGAAATCTTCCTCTGATCAGAAGTTCCGGTATCGGGGAAGGTATTAGCGCATTTGGGTGAGTACTCATCCAAATACTCGGTATCGGCCCCAATACTAGCATCGGTATCTGTGCATCCCTAATAAAAATATCGTCCAGTTCCTAATAACTTCTGAAATTTGGCTCTAGTGTCTGAAAGTATGGTATAAGTACACCAGCATTCTTGTATCCACCATCTACCCTTGTGATCCATCCAATATCAACCTTCATTTTCCCTGGGCTTTGAAGACCCACAAAATGTAAGACCTGTGTCACCCAGGGCATCAGCCAATTACACAAACTTTGCACAAAAATGGGGATCAAATGCTTCAGTGCCTTTTTAGGAGGAGTTCAAATTCCCCCATCTAAAACCCTTTAGATACCTCCAGGTGAAACACTATCATGAGCATGGTCAAATCATTCCTCACAGCATTCAAATCCACATGCCTTAATGACCACCATTCCAAAGGTATGGGGTCTTTCCTCTATTCCTTATAAATATACTCCATATACATCTACTGTAAATGGGAGGAAGAACTTGGAGATCATGTGAAAGTGGAAGAATGGTCCCAAAGATGGCAAACCGTAAAATCCAGCTCCCCTAATGTGAATGCTCCTGAAGAAAATTATAAACTGCTTTATCAATGGTACTTGGTGTCATCTCCCAGTAGCCTAATTCACCCTTTGCCCCCCTCCCTACGGTGTCTCTGGGGATGCGACGAGGTGGGTATCTTCAGCCACGTATGATGGACATGCCTGGTGGTATGCACATTATGGTCCAACGCCTACCAAATGTTAACCGTTCTATTTCCATGGAAGCACTGCTCCCCAAACGACCAAAAAGGATCACACGCTCTAACTTTAAGATGATGGTGTTCATCTTCTCTGCAACCAAACAGACCATAGCAGAAGCATTGAAATCTGCTACCAGCACAAGATGTAATCAAGAGTATCATGAATAATGATCAAACATAAAATGACTGCTATATTAAACGACAGTATGGCCTCCATACTCCAAAGTGTGGTCCCATTGGATTCAACATTTACCCCCAGACTTCCATTTCCCAAACATCTAAACCAGTGGTAGGCAACTTTGGCACTCCAGCTGTTGTGGCACTACAATTCCCATGAGGCATTGCAAGACTGACAGCCACAGGCATAACTCCTAGAGGCACATGCATAATGGAATCTGTAGTTTCACCACAGTTGGAGTGCGAAGGTTGCCTAGCCATGCTCTAAACGTATTAAATGTTCCTTCAATCGGCCTTGATAATGGTTTTCCAACCACAGACCCCAATAAGCCCTCTTCCCTACCTTCATACCCTTTCCCCTACCTTCATACCTTTCCTTCCTAAACTTCTTCCCTCCCATATGTAATATGTGAGATAACTTCTTTATTTGAGCAAGAACATGTAAAATTCTCCTCTGAGCAAGGAAATCTATAATGAGCTGGGCAAATACTGACATGTGCCCATAACTAGCTGTATTTGCCCTGTTTTATAATACAATAACTGTATGCATTCCCATATCAAAGATGGCCGCTGGCAACTTCCTGCTCCACAGTGTCGCTTCATTAGCAGCCAATGATGAGTAGCTTATGCTGGTGTCACGTGATACAGTGCTAACCATTCCGCACACTTACAAGTCACGTGGTTGTGATGGCTCCGGTGCGATGGTGTGTGCCTGGTGAGTGTTGTACGCCATGTGCGCCGGTTGAAGATGGCGAAGTTTGTGTATGCACCACACAGTGTCAGGCGGAGAGAGCTGGAGTTCCGAGGCTAGCTGCATATTGTTGGCAGGCTTGGTGGTGGAGATTTGTCTCCGGATATAGGGTAACCTGTATGGTTGTCCGCTGAAATATCTCTTCTTGTGACCGAATACCGGCCTGAGCAAGGCTGTAGTGAGATCAGCTCTCATGATAATAGCCAGGATGCTGTTTGCTATTGTTACTGACGTTGAATATGAACCCTGCCAGAGCCATTTTCTCTTCTGCACATGCTAAAATGTTTATTTTTAGCCCCGAAGATTACTTATAACCCCCAAAACATATATTTTGTAAAAGCAGAGACCATGTCGAATAAAATAATGGCAGTTGCATTTTGTTATGTTACCCAACCCATATTTACACAAAAAAATACACTCAAAGTGTTTTTAGTGCACACAAACAATGTAAATCCTAATTTTTTGGTCAAATATAAAAGATGGGGTTGTGTCGAACACCAAATATGTCAAGCCTGAAAATTTGTATGTGCTTTAGAAATGGATGTGAACTATGGTACCCCAAATTGTCTACGTGATGCTTTATAAGCAATTACAGCTCATCAATTTAGAGGGAACAGGCAATGATGGACCTAGAATGCCATCTCTATGGCGTGCGCAGAGATTACTCTACACTTCAAAGCGATCGGCTGGCTTTATGTCCTATTCGCAATTGGGTCTTACTAATTGCTACGTGCGACAGCTGCAGTACAAAAAAATTACAGCTGACAGTGTCAGAAAACACTTTGTGCGCACCGGTGATTGTCTGCAAGTAATCGCAGCATGTAAGATTACTAGCAATGAGCTCAGATTCAGCCTCTGCCGATCAATCAGCTGTGGGCTGGGGAATTCCCTGCCTGCAGCTGCTTGTATGTAAAGCGGCAGGTTGCTGTGATGTCATTGCCCTTATATGGCCACATAGCTATATTTGGTCAATGGCATTGACCTGATTTGGCCAAATCAGGTCAGCGATGCCAGCACAAGCATCCTGCTTCTTTGTTTATGTGCAGCTGCAAGGCGAGGAATTCCCCCTGCAGCGCCTTCTCATCCAATTGTAGTGTAAGCAGGCACCACCTACATGAGGGTGATAACACTGCTCTGAACCTAGGAGCTGTGCAGCATCATTGCCACCCCATCACAGGAAGCTGCATTAGGTGGACTTCACTGGCAGGATCAATAAGTATTTATGAGACTTTGCAAGGGGACTAAGAAAACTAAGTGCAGATGCTTTAATAATTAAGTGCTGCAGCACATATATTTTTTTTCAATGGGAGACCATAATTCTTCTTAAGGAATATGCAGTATATCTATGTATTTTCTCTTTCTAGGTGAGAGGCTGTGCAGTCTGGAGGATTGTGCTCCGGGGCATGGGACTTACTGCAAGCATGGCTACATCTTTGCCTCTCTTGCGGGTTATGTTTTTAAGACAAGTGACAATGGTTTGGTAAGTAGGCAACCAATCAGATTGTGTTTTTGTTTTAGTCGTGTGAAGAAAACTTTGAAGTCTTGTTTCCACAACTTAGGGCTTGTTCACACCAAATGCAGACCAGATCTGCATGAGTTTCTGCACACGCGGTGCAGTGGGCTGTGGCGGGTTTTTGATGCGTTCTGGGCCGTTTTTGGTTACAATTGGCTTTCGTAATTTTGTTTAAAATGGGCTTTCAGTGCGTTCCAGGGCGTTTGAAAGCGTTTTTGATGCGTTCCAAAGCATGTAAAATAGGGCTTACTGCAGTTTTTTTTAACATGCTCTGGAACTGAAAGCTGCGGTGTGAACTAGAGCCCAAAATACCATTGCAATACATTGGACGCAGTTTTGATCCGATCTGTAAAACTGCTCTGCTCCTGGAATGCGCTTGGTGTGAACAAGGCCTAAGGGCTAGTTCACACCAGATGCAGTCTGTTCAATTCGGCTGCTGCAGTCCAAATACATCAGATTGCTTTCCTATGGGATTTCTGGTGCTCTATTCACACCAGTGCAGTCCGTTCCGATTCACTCAAGGAAAATGCTGCCTCAGATTGCAACAGACGCATTCAAACACACTGGGACGCACCTGAAATCCCATTTTAAGTAACCTCCCCCCCCCCAAAAAAAAATGCATCAATGGCGATACAAAACGCATTGCAGCTGCACAGACGCACGCAGTTCTAATGTGAACTAGCCCTTACTGAACTTTGCACACAGTCATCGTGGAAATTTGTGGGAATGTGGTTTTCGTTTGGAGAAACTCCATTTATCCAAAAAGAACAATGTTAAAATCAGACAATACTTCGAACAACGTTTGCCAAGTCTCTGATGGCATTATGAAATGTTCTGGTCCAATTTCTCTTATGAACATTTATACATAAATCTTATGTCCATGTACTGCATATTTCTGGAGCGGTTTCTGCTTTAGAAAAATGCTCTCTATGTTCTTTATCTGCAGATGCCCGTGTTATCTGTAGTGAGGGACGCAGATTCACTACTTCTGCCAGATGTGGGAGCCATTGTCACATGTAAGGTAAGGAATTATACTGACAGTAGACCTGGCATGATAAAAAGCAACATCAGTATAATAGATCTCTGTAAGAACAGGCACCACGAGACCCATTTGTGTAGTTTTTCTCTAAGAATGTGCACATGTGGAATCCCTGAACACACACACTCCACAATACAATGTAGATGCCTATAGGGCGTAATTGAACAGTAGGATGGCCTGTGTGTATGATCCAGAGTTCAATAAGTTCAGAAACCATTTCGCGAACAGAATGTATGAGCAAACACCTCATGCTGCCTATTCTCAAGGGGCTGTGTAAGATTCATTGTTTTAAAGAGATACTTTGTGTTTTTATTATTCCTCTAAAGTGTTCTCTCTCTTAGGTGATGAGCATAAACCCAAGATTTGCTAAAGTTCAGATTATGTATGTCGGCTCGAGAGCGCTCAAAAACACCTTCAAAGGCACGATCAGGTAAGGCAGCGAATAGTCCTATTAAAGGAGAACTATGACGTGAGTGATTTTCACTCATCCTCATAGTTCTAGCCGACCTGTGACAATGAGACTGTCACAGGTCGGCTCAGTAGATTGGGAAGTGAGCGAACACATACCGGCGCTCGCTCACTTTTCGATCCTGCCACTGCAGAGAGCCATGACAGGGGAGGGACTGGATTCCCCCCTCCCCGCTCCGATCCTCTATCGCTGACTGGCGGAACGGACGGGGGAGTGGGCGGGTACAGCTGGCTCTGCCTCTAGATAGGCAGAGCCACCTGTCACTCATGCAGCTGGGCGGATCCGGACATAATTGTCGGGATCAGTTTCAGCTGCGGCGTCTCACTATACCGCGAGCTGTAGCTCGCGGTATACTGAGCTTTGGGTGATGGGAGGACATTAGTTTGTGTCCTCCCGTTACCCTTAGGAGACCTATGGGGAAAAGCCCTGACCCCATAGTTCTCCTCCTTTTTTTTAAGGGCATGCTATTTACATTGCAAGTCAACTCCATCTGAGGGGTACCTGTGCCTGTAGGTGGGAGGCAGTATCAGCATGTCCCTGCTGTAGTCTGATCCTAGGAGCATGCATGAAAGGTTGGCTCCAGGGGATGCTTGAAGGGAAAGAAGCCACCCTAAAACCGGAAGGTGGGGCCCATGCTCAGGACACCAGCTGAATCTGGGGAATGGAAAACTTTGCAAGATCGAGAAGCAGTACACACTGTAACTGTTTTATTAGCAGTAGAAATTGCAAAAAAAAATAGAATTTTTTAATTTAAGCTGAACTCCTCCTGACTAATATGCATGACTTGTTTTACCTGACAAATGGTTTATAATTCTATTCAGCCATTATTGTGATCTAGACAACACCGCTAGTTCCTAGACCTCTCTGTAGATTACAAGGCATTTAAGTAGTGGAGCTTTGTCCAGGACATGCCCAACCTGTGATTAGACAATAGAAAAGAAGCAGAACTCTTGTAGGCGTGTCACAATCAGCACTCTGCAAAGAAATCGAACCCGATTGGCTTAAAATACATCCTCTCCTGTTCTGAGACCTTTGCAGAGGGTTATAGGAGGGTGATATGAAGACACATTAATTTATCGGTGCTAGTGTAAAATAACATTAAAGATTTTCTAGCAAATGCATGGCTGGGTTAAATGTTTGTGCCTTTTAGTAATAAAAAAAAAAAACATAATAAAATGGTTAACATGTTGACATTTTTTCCATTTGTAGAAGAGAAGACATCAGAGCAACTGAAAAAGACAAGGTAACAGGCTATATGCAATAAAGCATTGTAAACAGTTACATCTATAACACTGACCTTAAGGCTCAACCCAGGCAGATGGCTTATTACTGAGTTTAAATATATATAAAAAGCTTTACCTCCCGGAGGAATTGTCATTATGTTAAGCGGGTGTTGTAATCTTGTTCTAAAACGTGGCCCTCCAGGTCTTGGACGCTACTGTTTACACTAGTTTTGGATCAATTGCAGCTTGTGACTGGACAGGTAAGAGGCATCAGCTGAGCGATGAGATCACCTCTGTGTTGTACACCCTAAAGGTGGCCATACACTTTACAACCATCGCGAGACCTTAGTCTTGCGATGGTTGTAAAGTAATAAAAAAAACGTACGATCTGCCAATCTTGGACAGGCAAATCGTACTTGCGATGATCGCAAGACTGCCCCCCTGAGGGGCGGGCTTCCGATGAGTGCAATGCTGAACGGGCAGTGTGCGCGTGTGCACACCGGCCCGTTCGGCATTTTGTCTCCCGAGCATCATTCAAACCAGCCGAAAATCGTAAGATTTTCGGCTGGTTTTCTAGCATGCTCCTTAGACAAAAGACGTGCGACCGTACAGTAGAAACGGTCGCACGTCTTCATTCACACTGCCCGATTCTCGTACGATCGCGGGATTTCCCACGATTCTCGTACGAGAATCGTGCATTGCATGGACACCTTTTTGTCCTGGTTCACACTGTGTTTTGTAGCACTTTTTCTGTCCTAGAAAAACGCTCCAGAAATCTGGCAAAAAAATAAATCCTTTTCGTTTCTATGGCCCTGTTCACATCTGATTTTGTCGCAATAAGCAAAACACCTGTCGCTGGAAAAACTACAGGAGACCACACAGCATGGATATGGCAGGAACCGGAACAGAGGAATATAAGATTTTTTTTGGGGGGGGTTTAAATTATCTTTACGAACATATAAATAACACATGGAAGCCGCCTCCTCCTAAAAGCTGTATTTGTGTTCTTTGTAAGTTGCATTTTGTGCCATCATAATATAATTGAAAGGATCGGCACAAACTGATTTGTTTTAGATTGTCAGACAGCGATGTGTATTGCAGTAGGAAAGAAGATATTTGTTGTGTTTTGAATAATCCATTATCTCCTTATGTTTTTTCCTCGAGTAGTTCTTTAATCGAGTATTGAAGTCGTATTCTCTCAAAAACACTCCTACTTTATGCTGTCAATGTAAGCTTTTAGAAAACTGAGCCTTGGTGTCCATTGTCTTTGTAGGTTTGGTTGGGGCATAAATATATAACACTGATCTTTAAAGAACTACTCTGGCCAAAACCTTTATTAACCCTTGCAGTGGGGCTATGCGCGCCCTGTAAGGATTAACTGGTCATTTTCGTCTAGGTGCTATAAAATATAACGTTATGCTCTCCTGATCCTGGGAGCTGGCCGGCTGTCCTAGCACTCTCTCCAGCCTGTCTCCTTCTCCACTGCAGTGCTGAAATGTCCCTCGGTGTCCTCGTCCTATACACCGAAGGGAATTTATCAAAATTGTAGCAGACAAAATCTGGAGCAGCTGTGCATGGCAACCAATCAGTGCCTCTCTCATTTTCAAACCTTAACTGAACAGACTGAAGAGAGAAGCTGATTGGTTGCCGTGGGCAACTGCTCCAGATTTGGTCTGTTCCAGTTTTGATATTCACCCCACTGTGTATTGGACATAACTTGTGGATCATTAGACCACTGCAGTGGAGGGGGAGCGAGGCTGAAAGTAGTAGTCTAGCAGCCAGCCGTGAACAAAGATCGGGTGAGTAAGAATTTTTTTTTTTTTAACGATTTTTAGCACCCAGATGAAAATGAGCAGTTAACACTTGCATTGCAGGGGCAGCCCCACTGCAAGGTTTAATAAACATTTTGCACAAAATTCTTTAAAGCTCAGGTAGATAGATTAGATAGGAGTGAGATATTTTGTACGTTAAAGGGGTTCTAAACCCTCCGGTTTTTTTTTGCATATATCTACTGCTAGCAAAAGGATATATGCAAAAAGTTTTTTAAAAAACGATTTTAACAGCGGTTTAAACTTACCCCGTCTTTGCCGCAAGCTCCCGTCCAAGAATCCGAAACTGCTCGGGCGGCCGCAAAGCATCTTGGGGCGGGCGCATGCACAGTTCGGATTTTCGGCTGGGAGACGAGGAGAGACGCAAGGTAAGTCTATGGACACGTGCACCCGCATGCAGACACCGTGGGATCGGCAAGGACAGAGGAGTCGGCGCTGGATCGGAGACCCGCCTCAGCGCTGGAGAGAAGGCTGAAAAGGACAGGAAAGAAGAGGAAGATCGGAATAAGAGACATCATTTAAGGTAAGTGCCGACATTAACTTTGGGGGAGGGGAATTTTTTTTAACTTTAATGTCACTTTAAGCTATTAGGAAGGTAGGTGTTTTTTTTTTTGTTTTGTTTTTTCCTACTCTTTATTTATGGTGCATTCTTTCATACTTGTCATGTTTTTAATCTTGCATACAGTTTGAAATTAACTTTGTTTTCAACTTTTCCCCCAGGTTGAAGTTTACAAATGTGTTCGGCCAGGAGATATCGTTATAGGAAAAGTTGTATCCTTTTATGTATAGAAGTGATATAAACAATAACACATTTATAAAAAGTTTTACCGCAACCATTTCTAAGGCCCCATTCACACCTATGCGTATTGTAATATGCGCGTCTGTCGCGAGACCGTCACGCGTTTTTTTACCGCGATTCGCGGTAAAAAAGTCACGCGACCGTCGCGCGATTCCAAAGGCTACTTGGCAGTATACAAATGGAAAACGCCCTACAAAACGGACCAATACGCAGCAAAAAACGCTCCGGGACCTCTTCATGCGTTTGCCGTTTTGTAGTGTGTTCGGGACGGGCGGAAATACGGACAGGTGGGAACGATACCATTGACTACAATGCTATTTATTTTTTTGACCGTTTTGTAGAGCGTTCATCGAGCGTAGGACGCGCTACAAAACGGTCAGGTGTGAATGGGGCCTAAAGGACACCTATGTTTTGCTAGTTCCCCTTTATAGGGCCAGGATCCACTTTGAGCCTTATACGTGCCTGTAGAACTAAAATTGTGTTTTTGATCAAATCCAAATGGCACCACCAACCAGGGTGGATTTGATTTAAATCGATTTAAAGGAGAACTATGGGGTTAAGGCTTTTCCAAATAGTTCTCCTTAGGATAACGGGAGGACACAAACTAGCATCCTCCCGTCACCTTAGGCTCAGTATACCGCAAGCTGTAGCCTGCGGTATACTGAGACGCCGCAGTATACCAAGACGGCGCAGCTGAAGCGGATCCCGACAATTATGTCTGGATCTGCCTATCTAGAGGCAGAGCCAACTGTACTCGCCCCCTCCGTTCCGTTCCGCCAGCGCTGAATCCAGCCCCTCCCCCTGTCACGACAGAGAGCCGTGACAGGATCGAGAGGTGAGCGAACGCCGGTATGTGTTCGCTCACCTCCCGATCTACTGAGCCGACCTGTGACAGTCTCATTGTCACAGGTCGGCTAGAACTATGAGGTGAGTGAAAAGCACTCACCTCATAGTTCTCCTTTTTTAAGTCATAATTTTTACAGAGCAACTGTCATCTCCTGTCCCGCTGCGGCTCCCCCTCTGACCCGCTGTTGACTCACCGACAGTCCCATTCACTTTAATTGGACGGCTGGTGATGTGGCATTGACACAACAAGGTGAGGGACGTGGCGGGCAGTAGGTGAGTGGATTTTTCCTGAACTTTGTTTTAATATTGATGGTTACTTTACTGTCAAATTGCATCAAAGCAGTGCATGTTATCTCCGCTTGCAGAGCTTGGATTCATTGAATGAGTTTACCAAAAATGTCAATATTGCAGAATACACAGCCTCATGCTACATAACTAAGCTCCATTTCATGCTGAATAAACTAAATTATTAATGTATCTTAAATATAAAACTATCTTCAGATAGATTTTTACTCCGAAAGCATTTTTATTAAAATAAGCTTGATAAAGATTTTTAAAAAATCAGATTTAAATTAAAAAAAAATTTTTTTTTTTTTAAATCCACCCTGCCATTAACACGTCTATTAATTTTATAAAAGGGATCTCCAGCACATTTTCAAGCTAGCCAACAGTTAAAAAAACAAACAAAAACTACTACTTTTAACTACTCGGGTTCAAAACAGAGATTTTAGTTGCATACATTTGGAAGCCACACGGCTGTGTCAAGTCACCTCTGGTGAGTGTGTTCCCTAACACTAAATTATCTTATTTTCCAAACTATGGGATAAATATTGCAATGCACAAGCAAAGAGCAGGCTCGCTAGGAGTTGGCCCAATCCTTATAGGTCCAGCCACACGCTTGAAGTCCAGACTGGCTGCACCTCTAAGGAGGTTTGGGCTAAATCCACATTGCTATACATGAAAACTTAGGGATGCACCGATACTAGTATTGGTATCTGTGCCGATACCGAGTATTTGGGCGAGTACTTGTACTCACCCAAATGCTCCGATACCAGAACTTCCTGTCAGAGATAAATTTCCTCTGAGCCGGGCAAACATGGAGACGGCTTCCCTGGAAGCTGGGCAGCATGTCATTACATTCCCGGTATCGGTACTAGGCATCGGCGAGTACTGAAAGCAAACTATGGTTAGGGACCATAGGACTAAATGGAGATTGCGCCACCCTGCACATTTTTTATTATGAAGAAAATGCTTCTTGACGTCGCATATAGATATCCTTGGGAGATTCTCAGTCCAGTTACTTGTTGAGCACAGCAGAAAATGAGCTTGGAGTAGTAGTTGCACATAGTGAAGCAGGTATGTATTGTGATTGTCATATTCTCACAAATGTGTGCGATGTAGGGGGGGGGACGACTGACCACAATGAAAAGCTGATGGGGGTTCTAGCATTCTCGTTAACGGCTGTAGTAACAAGCGGGTCTTTCCTGCCCGTGCGAGCAGGAAAAAAATGCTGTCTGGCGACGGCAACCCGCAGATAGGAGTCAGCCGTCCGTCCGTTTTTTCTTAACGGGCGGACGGCAAGAGGTTAAATTATTTTTTTTTAAAAAGTTCCTGTCTGCTGTTAAGGTTGTTCCCTGGACAGTGAGAAGAAATCTCTCCAACAGATTCCCGGACAGCAGTGAAGTCCCTCATGAGTTCAGTCCTTCCTTGTTCAATTTAAAACTTAGAAGTTTAGGCTATAGATTTTTTCCTAAAATATTGATTGTACGGACTAGGGCTGCAACCGATCGATAATAATCAACTATTCTCATTATCGATTAGTTGGAGAGAGATTTTTTCTATATGCAACTAATCGATTAATCAGAAAACGAATTGGGCAACTTATCGATTATGAAAATAATTGTTAGCTGCAGCCCTAGGGTGGGACCGAAAGGTCTTTAGGAAGATGAACACTAGACAAAAATAAGCACAGGCCTTGCTCCTCTTGTGAGCTATATCCACGTGCACCAGAAGAGAGAACTTCGCTTTAGATTTGTATCTAGGAGGTAGGACATACAAGTCTTCTCCATGCTTAAAAAGTAGGTAGGAGATTCTCCTCAAGCTTATAAGATCATGTATGGGAGTATTTTATTTTACATGGTGGGGGACACTGAAAATAAACAATAAGTAAAGATATAGGTTACGTTATCAAGAGTTGTATAGGTAAAGGTGGCCTAATTCAGTTTTTAGAGGTCTGTAAAAAGAGATTTGGGGTAAAGGTGAATAATCAGGCATGAACCGTGATGGGAGTTTGGCTTTGGAACGGCTGTTACTGATCTTGTTCTTGTGGACTGTTGCAGTGATGATTGTACGGTTAATAATTGGTGTATTTGCTTCCACAGGGGCAACCATGGTGCCTATCAGCTGGTGTGAGATGCAGTGCCCCAAAACCCATATCAAGGAACCACGGAAGGTGGCACGAGTACAGCCTGAGTTTCTGCAGACTTAAAAAAATTAAAGCGTGTCTGCCACTTATTACCAAATGTTACCACTGTGTGGTTTGTACATGAAAGATCTAAAAAGGAACTTGAATTCTCACATTGATGTTAATTTGCAATATAGAATCCCACAATTCCAGTTTTAAGGCCAAATAAACCCATTACTAGCAATGCAGGTTTTCACTGCTGGGAGGCTGAATCAGATGCGAGATCTTGCTTTTCAGGAGTTCATTGCAAAGATACTTCCACTCGAATTTTCTACCCCTTGGCTGTTACGGAGTCATTTGATGATGATGCTTTATTTCCCATATTCAGTAATGTAGAATAAACTGAATTGGAGATTCCAGCTGCATGAGAGATGTCATTATTATGGCCAAGTAGAATTAGGGGTGAAGACAAAGTGCTACTGTCAAATGTTGCCATTCGATCATCGATGCTCTGGGAAATGAAAAGGGTTGGCAGGTGATTCATTCAAAAAATTTTGGATGTAAAAAACATCTAATTTTATCAAAGTATCTGTGTTTTCCCCATAACTTGGCAGATTTGTTTATTTTTTTTCTTTATTACCTAAAGAAAACCTCAGCACTGAGTGGTTGCTGTAGGATTACATAATACGGATCTTTGTTAAATAAATTAGATCGCCGATGTTTTTTATTTTTTAATGTCACAGATCTTGTTTTCTGGGTTTTTAAAATGTAAAAATTTCACATTTTGCTTTCTCATTTACGTGTACTTTTATAATCTGTAATAAATGAGGATTGCATTTTATGCGTTTTTGGTCTGTCATTTACAACAAGGGAAAAAAAAAAATCAGTGAGTTCTTTTATTTTGTTTGTAACATTTTAACTTCTTTGACAGTCCGTTTAGTCACAGTAGAGCGGCCTCCCTTGGACTGGCATCGCGGATCATATTGCCCCATTTAATATTCGCTTTTGCACACATGGTGGTAGAATGCATGTTTTAGGATTACATTAAACATAATTTTTTGGTATAGAGTACCGACACTTTGCTTTTGGTACTCGTCGATAGCGGTGCTTCCACTAGCATGGAGCCATCAAAACCGGGCAATCTGCTTGAAAAGCTGGCTCCATGTTATTTGGTTGGGAAATGACCAGCCACCCAGCTTCCTGATTGGCCGGGAAGCCAACTTGATGCTGATTGGCTGGAAAGCCGGCTTCCCATCCAATCAGCATGGAGTCGGCTTCCGGGCCAATCAGGAAGCTGGGAGGCGGGTCATTACCCACCGCCTAGCTTCCTGATCGCATGGGAAGCTGGCTCCATGTTCCCCTACGGCACTTTCAGAGGAAATCTTGCTCTGACCGGAAGTTCCGGTATCGGAGCATTTGTATGAGTACTCGCCCAAATACTAATACTAGTATCGGTGCATGCCTAGTAAATACCAAAGATGTCCTGCCTAAAAACTTTGCACCCACAAAACTGCAAAAAAAAAACATGTTACCCTAAATTGTCTATACTCAACACTTTAAAAGATTTTACAGATCGTTAATTTACAGTTAACACAAAGATAGCCAAAGAGTCACTCCGATATGCACGGTAATACCTATTATGTGTGGTGCAATAGTCGTTTTCATGCGCAAACCTATTTTCTTTTTCTACTTCCTGGTCCTCTTGAGTATTAGCGATGTAATGTGCCCAAGCGTTGCATCCTGGGAAGATTTATATCAGCAGAGCATTGCTGGGAAATCTCATGAGATCTTGGGGAAAGGCACTTTTCTCCCCTAAGATGTGCATGGTGACATGTCCTAGTCACATGTGCCAGAGTTCCAGGAAGTAAAGGGAGATCTAGTAACCTGCCCTCAGTAAACAATGGCCACAGAAATAATATGAAAAAAATAAAAAAGCTGGCAATTATCCAGAAGTATTTGTAGATTCTCATTAATAAACATTTCTAAAGGTGTATTTGTTGTCATTTCAATGCTAAGGGTAAAGTTCTACTTTAACTTTTAATATCACAAGGGGGCTGATAATTCCCCTATGTGATGGCATAGTGCAAGTGACTGGTTCTCTTTAAGGATACATCAGGGATCTACTAGATCCTTAATGTCACCTTTGCATTTTGCCAAAGCTAATCAAGCACAGATCATGCTGCCTCAGTTTCTTCTCTGGCCACGGAAGCTGGTGAATGACAGACTGAACCAGGAAGTGATCAGAGCTCTGCTTCTGGGTACGTTCTTCACAGGGTACATCAGTGAACAGGTGTTGGCTCATCTTCCTCCGCTCTTCATTCTAACACCTGGCATGATGGTCCTAGGCAACTGGGAGGGCCTAGGGCGCATGGGAGAGGGGGAGGAATATATTACCATACACATGGCAGTGATTGGGCGGTTTTAGGGCTGTCCTAATCACTTCTACATGAAAGCACATCACTGCTGAGAGTTTTGTTTACAGGTTGGTGCTATGGCTGACTTACATCAGCTGCAGCGAAAGCCTTAAATACAAGGGTATGCAAAGGGGTTTTTAAGTTTTTGTATAGATTAGGAAAGGGTTAGACCCTTTAGAAAAGTTTTATTGCAGTCTGTGAGGGTCCAAATGTTCCAGAGACAGTGAAGAATTCCTCTCATTATAGGGGGATTTCCTTTCATTGTAGGTGGAAAATATGTCCCCTCCCTGCTTCTCCGACAGCACCCCTCCCCCGGGCTTACAGACTCACCGTAAATCACCGCCGTCTGCACACGCTGTCCACTCTCCAGGCCGACGTCCACATCATCCCATCCAGGTGAGTAACACTCGGGGTGCCGCTCTCAGCGAATCTGCCGCTCCGGGCAAATGCCTTGTTTGCCTCGCGGCAGATACGCCCCTGACACCAACGGCAATATACATATTGTACCTTTCTGGCGGCCCGGTGTTGAAAATGCTGCTGCTTGGTTGCTCCCCTCTGTAAGTTTTTGGCCAGCTGGATGAGTCCAATACTTGTGGCCCTGCTGCATGCAGTGATTCTTCCTGCCGAAAAGATACAGTAGGGGTAATTTATCAAAGTTTTAGCCTCTTAGATCATTTTTTTTATGTGCAAATCTGTCTTTTAACATGTGCCCCTGTTTTCATCTGCACTTGTTCTGCGGCTGTCAGACATCACCTAAGAAAACAATCGCAACTTAAGAAGTCCCCATGACCACTTCTTCAAGAAGCGACAGTTAAAGTGCTGCCTCTTCTCTGTTTGCAGGCAATTCCGATCCCGCGGTGTCTGCATGCAGGTGCACGCGTCCATGGACTTACCTTGCGTTTCTGCTCGTCTCCCGGCCGAGAATCCGAACAGCGCATGCGCCCGCCTCAAGATGCTTTGCGGCCGCCCGAACAGTTTTGGATTCTCGGGCGGGAGTGCGCAGTGAAAACAAGGTAAGATTAAACCGCTGTTAAAGCGTTTTTTTGTTTCGTAACTGTTTGCCTATATCTACTGCTTGATAGCAGTAGATATACAGTAGGCAAAAAAAACAGAGGGTTTAGAACCCCTTTAAAGGAAAACTATGGGGTCAGGGCTTTTCCCCATAGTTGTCCAGGAGTTGTCCGTCTACTAGATTGCAGAAGAAAGAATTCGAGAGGAAGGGAGTTGGGAGCTGCTTGTCTTGCTGTGCCTGTGTGCTTATAGAGACACTCACAGCTTACTAATACACACAAGGGTGGCCCCATAGGACCCTGCAAGGGAAATGAGCCACCCTAAAACAGGATATGAGGGCCAGTGCTCAGGGGACAGGAAACAAACTTTTAAAGATCAAGGAGCAGCATCTATTGTAAGTGACATCAGCATTTGAAATAGCTTCAAAACATTTTGACTAAACTATCACTGTAACCCTCTGTTAGGACAGACAGTGTTCAGATATAGTTTACAACTGATAATTACATTATCATACAGGATTTATATAGCGCCAACAGTTGGCACAGCAGTCTAAAATATAATCTGCCAGCACAGTACAGACGGGATTGATTACAGTACACAACTTCCCGCAGGTCCCTCCTTAAAGCGACATTAAACCTTTTTTTTTCGTTCTCTAGTAATATCCAGACCGCTAGCACCACTCCCCCTGCACGGGTGACTCCATCAGCTAGCCAACTGCTGTGGAGGTACCCATGCATGCAAGGTCGTGGTCATGTCCGCACCTAGCTGTGTGTGTCCATAGACACACACAGGGTGCAGCCTGCAATGCCCCCACCCTTGCAGTCACAGCTTGACTGATGGCAGGAGTCTATGGCAAGGGCTCTTACAATAGGCAAGGGCTCTTGCCAGAAGGAGCCTATGGCTCCCCTGCCCTCAGTACCCTCTACCACAACCAGGAAGTTCGGGGAATCCCAAGTATCTTCCTGGTCGCGGCAGAGAAGATGAGCAGCTGCAGGTAAGTGTGTGTGGGGGGGAGGGGGGTGTTAGGGAAGTGCTGGGCGCAAAGAATGAAATAAGGCAAAAAAAAACAAAACAGCCTTTAGTACCACTTTGACCTTACA